CCTTCGTATCCTCTAAGGACTGGCTGTCATTTTCTGCACCGAACGTCTTACCTAATTTGTCTGCACTTTCCTGTGCCAACTCGTCTTCCAGGCTCCGCTTCATCAACTCTCTTGATAATTCCCCCCTCGGTGCAATCCGTACGTGTTCATAGGCGACTGTCATGGGTGGTCCTCTTTTTGACCGACGACACTTGAGCATGTGGGGCGTAGCATTAATGACCCTAGCTTCGATCCAACGAGGTCTCTCGTTTTGTTTTGAGGTTTTAAAATACACCCACACACGCATACCTTTTGCGAACGAGGTGTGTGGCTCTACATTTCTCACTTTTGACCTAACCACTCGTTGTATTGCCCTGATTGCTACAGCCTCCGTGTGGGCGTCTAGCAGACCTTGCGAAACTGCATTGCTGGGCATCCCCAATATTGATGGAGCATACCCTCTGGCCAGCTGAAAAGCACTTAGCGTTGCGTTTCCGTGAAACATATTGGTCATAAAAGATGCCCTGGAGACCATAGTCGAGTGCGATGCGGATGTACTCTCCTTGGCAAGCCTTGAAAGGACCATTTTAAAGACTCCGTTGTTCCTTTCGACATGACCATTTTTCGAGGATGATCTCGACGGCCTTGGTTTTAGCTTGATCTTGTGAGTACTGAGAAACTTTTCAAGCACCGGTTTACAGAACTCTGGGTCTGCACTGAAACTTTGTGGTGCCCCGTGATGGTATAACCATTCTGCTTCCAGCATGACCATCATATTCTGAGCCGATCTATTCTCTGCAATAACTCTTTCCCCGTATCGTGTACCGACGTCCACAACGTTTAACACCTCCAGTTTCTTGTCGCCTATATAGACAATCACAAAATCAGCCTGTATCTCTTGATTAAATGCCTCATTTACGTGAGATAAAGACACTTTTTTCATGTCGGTTGGTCTACCGGACGAGGCACATATGTCACATGCCTGTGACACCTTCTCACACGCTTGTATCACTCCTGCCGTGGTCATCTTAGCGTCATCAAACAAGCGTCGCATCTCATTCGAGGATGCGTGAGTGAACCGATGTACCTTTTTGACCATATTTATTTCTTGCCTGGGAGAAACTGCGCCAAGCAAACTTGACACCGTTGATTTTCCATGTGGTAAAATGTCAAAACGAATACGTTCGTTCCCCCCGTCGTCTTTTCTTATGTAAGTAAAGAACTTTCGCTCTTCTGTATCGCATGGTCTCTGAAAAATGACGAATGTGGGCTTCTGTCTGTTCATCGTATCTGAAAATCTCTTAACGTCTAGCCCGATTATGAGAGGTGATGAGCCCTCTACAAGATCGAACGTCATAACTGTTGGCTTTCTGTTGACGTCATTAATAAACAGATCCCAACTGTACCTGATCGGCTTCGCGTCTGCGCATGCGTGCCCCCAACCGTGATCGTATTGTTCACGCGGTGGTTTCAGAATTAGTGGTATAGCCAGAGCATCACACAATTGTGTTGCATTAACCACACCACCCGTCGATGTTGGTGCTCCTTCATCAAGCAAAGGGTTAAGGTCAGTATGGAGCTCTACTGGCCTCTTCTCCGAAAAAACGCACCAATCTTCTTATCTTTGAATTCGGTGTTCTGATCAGGTCCCCGCCAGGTGTCCCGTGTTGATTCGTCCTTCTTATTTTCTATATTTCTTTGAACTTTCTGAATACAATTCGGTCTGTCTCTATACCAGTGCCCAATCTCTCCACATCCTTTGCATTTGGTTTCTGATTTCAACTTTTTAATGCGCTCCGTGCGTGGGTATGCCTCATTTTCATATGAACGCTTTCCGAGCATACTTCCCCTTGAAGAAGCGTCTCTTATCTCGTCGGTGATAATTTTTACTTGTGACAAAGACTGAACGGTATCTTCCATGCTGATAATTGACGCATTACATTCTGTTTCGGACCTTTTTGACAGCTGGCTGATTCTGTCCGAGATTTTGAGTAGTTCTTGCCGATGTTCTACGCCTTCCCCACAGTGTGCTGCTATGAAATTGCTAAGCATAGATGCTTCGCCAATCCGTATATGTAATTTCAGGACTTTTGTCGTCGTTTTCTTGTGGTCTGTTTTAGAAGTAAGCTGAAACATCAGAGAGTTGAGAGTGTCAGGTGTTAGTTTAGCATTACGCAGTAGTGTGACAGCAAATTGTCTACTAGTGAGATCCGTCATTTCGGATGTCTGGTTGACATATCTTGCAACTGTTCCGCTGTATCTATTGGCGAAAAGATGTGGGCTTTCCCCTGCTCTGCGAACACAAGTCTGGATGTCGTTCAGCAGCTCTACTTCCATGCGCATGAGCTCGGTGGGTGAATCTTTGGCTATGATGTTAATTATCTGTTCCACAAGGGCTTCCCTGTTTGGATCGTTTCTGTTTCCTTTCATACAAACGATTCCCGACTTCTCAGCACTTTGTATCATTTGCTGAGCAAAATCATCGCACGACCTATAGATTAGGGGTCCAGCCCCGTTCAGCATAGCCCTTGACTTGGTGTCCACTTCTGCAAACATGTTCAGCATTTCAATCCATCTGCGGAGTTCATCCCTGTACTTAGATTTGACTGTGAAGTTGGTAGTAAATGTCGGGGGATGATCATGGCTTGATGAACCACCTCTGCTTGATGATGAGAGAACCGCTGGGCCCATAACTGTGAGTTTTTCACTGGTCATCCTGAGGCAAGGATGCAGGTTGGTTCCCTTCAAGTGTTATGAGGTGGTACTAGATGGTTTGGCAAAACGTGTTCCGTATCGGCAAAGGTATTCAGCATCAGCTGGCTCGGGTGCTCGTCCTCCCGTGCGTGTCCTCCTTTTCTTTTCTCTTACTAGCTCTCGTCTAAGCTGTATAAATACCTAGGCTCGCTCGCGTTTCTTTCCGTTCTGCGCATCGTCATGCGCCTCATTGCATATCCCTTCCGTGCACTATCTCCTCCGCGATCCTTGGCTTCTGCATTTGCCCATGACCCTTCCTATTTCCGATTCAATGTCGCACTCCTCTCCCGCTGTCTGCTTTCTCTCTATATGTGTGTGTTCCCTCATACGCACACCCTAATCTATGCTGGTGACCCTTCCGGCTCAATACACATAGGCCATAAACACTGTATTCACCCAAAGTGTAAGTCTGCATTAAAACGCCACACCGCTTACACGTGCACAACAGTCCAAATCTTCACAACTGTACTGTTGTGAGAACGTCTTCCGAAATAAAGCAAAAATGTGCTTGCGCAGTATCAAGACGTGGGGGCGAAGCAGGAGGAGCAAAACCGACAAGACTAGCCACTGTAGAGATACAGGGACACGCCTATCCGAATGCGAACGCGAACTGGTGTCAGTTTCCCAATTAGCGAAGGGCGAAGGGGTGCCAGCGATGGGTGACACGCGAAGGGCAAGCGATGAAAGGACGCGGGAATATGGAGTGTAGGTAGTAGCTCGCACTGAAGGGACTGGGAGGATAAAGGGGGGCAGATGGAAGAGGAATAAACAGAGAGGAGGCAGCGGAGAAAAGCGCCCAGCAACTTTATGCTGATCATCATCTTGCAGTGCATCGCCCTTCCATTTCCCTCACTCGCGCGATGAATACTCCCACAACTGTATACACAAGCCGCCGGTTTGCTCGTCGTACGGCTCCCGGTTTGTGCTCAAAACTAGAACTGGGGGTGTTTGTGTCAGACACAAACGCACATCCGCACCCACCTATCCCACCAGATATCATACCATCTGCTCAAAGATTCTGCGATCTGTGCGGTCAACCATCGCGATCAACCATCGCACCCATCCGCAGCTCACCTCTTTTTCTATCCGCCCTCCCTCCGCATAGTCCTGTTCTTCGTATCGGCCGCCGTCCAACCCCGCTGTCCTGCGCGTTGCAACAGCAAAATAAGGAGGAGAATTTTCATTTTGGTAGCATAGGATATAGGGCAGTGAAAGGGGTAATGGAATCCGTCCGCCGGGGTGCCGACACTTCAATGGAGGTTTATGGGCATTATGCGTGTCTTACGTGTATATACTGTAGTGTACAGTACAGGGGGGGTCGCGATATAGTGCCATATTTGTTAGTGCCAGCTCCGATATAGTGCTACCCTTCTGCGGGTGGCACGAATTTTGAGCCAAAAACGAAGGGTCTCCAGGGAGGCAGTTGGATGGACATGTGTGTACTGCCCGAGAGCCGCTGCCGCCGCGGAAAGATATTATGCAGTTGCCAACTCGAATAGAGACTATGGCGGAAAAAGGCAGGGTCGATGATGCAATTGGACATCTGCAAAAGTGTAGGCTGGCATTTATGGCGGCGAAAAAGGAGGAAGTCAATGCAACGGCTCGGCAGCTACTAATAACAGAAATGCTTGATTAGACTTGAGTCTGTAGTGAAGATACAAAGCATGAGTGATGGCGTCCTGCGAGCGGTCTTTCTGAGCAGTGATGCAAGGAAGTGGCTGCAAAAAAGCCGTAAATCTCATTATCTAACAGTGCCTGGTTCGATATAGTGCTGTTTTCGGCCCACTGACACAGGGTAGCACTATATCGCGACCCCCCCCTGTATAGGCATTATGCGTGTCTTACACAAATTTTTGGGTCACATGCATTTCCGTGCCAGCTCACAAAATACGACACACATACACAAAGGGAATTTGTGTGTTCACAATTTATGTTTTTCGGAGTCGCCCATTTCCCAGTCCCCACGTGAATTCGAGCAATTGTGTTATTCGAGGCACTCTATGCAGTTCCTCTTTTGCTTCATCAAATTTCCAGTTGATGAGACGTGCAAGCGGCCTGCGTTGCCAGTGTGGCCATAGCCATTCGTGGGTAATTGGTAATGGGGCAGGACTCACAGATTCGAGAGCACAGGCCAAGGCTCTGCAAAGCTCCACTTGGTGTTTTTCTTTTATGAACATGTACAGGATCTGAGACAGAAGCCGATTGACAGTTCGTTTCTAATGCACAAAGTCTGGACTAGAGGCCACAACAAATCAAGTACTAGGAGCTTTTGTGTTCTTGTTACAGCCAGATTTTACAAATGTTTGTACTATTGGTACGTCTCTTGAGAAGCCTAAACTCGAATATGCAATAGAGCAACCTATTGCCTTTAGTGAAATGACTGCCAACCGTTAGTGGGACCAAAAAAAGATAGACTCGCAAATTCAGACTGTGGGTGTGGTATGACGCCCAACGATAGGAAAATCGATAAACATGTGCGTATCTCCATGATTCATCTCTATCACCCGGGACGAGGAGCCGCCTGAAATTCTCCAAACTCTTCACTCTCGCCATCCAATGATTTTCTACTCACAGAGTGCCTGCCTTCTACACCTGAGGCCTGAGTACCGTCCGTGGGCTTCTGTGCGTGACTGCCTAATGCTGTATGTGTATCATACTCTGTTCGGTCTTTTGCAAAAAAAGTGTTCCCACCTACCGGAGAGGTACTATGTCCTGAAACGCGAGCTGCCTCTTCAACATCTTGTCGATCATTGCCCACATCGCTTTCTAACTGTCCGGAAGATGCCGCAATGCCTTGCGGGCTGGATGACCCCACCTCCTCTGATAAACCCCCCTCTGCAAGATACTCTTTGATGAGTGCGACACACTCAGTTAGGCCATCAGGCATTAAGCAAACCACAAATTCAGGTGTAATATTGCTCTCGTTGCTTGATAAAACCTCAAATGTCACAACTTCTGGTCGGTTTCTCTTGAAAGTAATGCGAGAGATGTCCTGTAAATAGCGTATTAGTTTCACTTCCAGCAAATGGTGTCGATTGCTGTATGGGCATAGTAGTAAAAAGTAATTGGAAGAAACGCCGACATAACGCCTTTTGAATTCCGCACTACGCCCGCCTTGCCCATAGTTACGATCAGACCTCGCTTTGCATGGAAACAGACGCAGTCCAGCCATTACACGATCATCCATGACATTAACGGTGAATCCTTTCGGCATTGCCGACAACGACATTGATAACGAGCTATCGCCAAGCCACCCAGGTTTCGCTTCGCGGCCCCAGGGGGATTTCTGACCCCCGAACAATCCAGATGAGCTTTGCCTTTGCCGGCTTGGGCTTTCAGTGGACGTATTAGTGTGATCTGACTGAACCCCGGGGCGTGGGCTGGGTGTGGCTGGTGAAGTTGCAGTTGATCTTGGACTGCTGTTGACTGGTAGGTTTTTGTCTGTTGTGCCATCTGCCCAGCTACGGCTGCCATTAGCGCAAGGTCGTGACCGCCGAGACTTGGGTTCACCAGAACTTTTCTTTGACTGAGGACCTTCTGTTCTCTTTAAGGAAGAATTCGAACTCGATCCCCGCGCAGAGGTGGACCCTCGGTTTCCCATTGACTCCGGTGAAACAATTGAATTAGGAGAAAAAGGATTGTAACTCGAGGTTGTGGAGGCTGATGATGGTGTTGTCGGCTCACCTGATACCCTTGAGCTCATGGTCGACAAACTATATTTCAGCCCCATACCGCTCAGTGCTTTGTTGAGAGCTCGAGATACCTCGGCATCTGTCTTTTCCAGGAACGACGAGATGCTCTGCATCCCGCTTGGCGAACTACTTCCGCGCTCTGATGCAAGGTTCCCAGACGTTCTCATGGGGGAATCGTCTTGTGTAGTGTCGACTTTTCGATCGTCCGTGGCAAAGCCATCCCCAGCGTACTTGTGACCTTCCCGTGTCGCACTTCCTTTCCTTCGCCCAGCATTATGCTTTCGCTTTGCCTGGGCGGTGATGCGAGCTTTTCGCGCGCGTTCGTATTTCTTTTTATCAAAATCAACAAGCTCGACCCCGCTCAAGTTGTCTTCAGAATTTGTCGCGGCATGCAAGGCTTCTTGAAAACCTCCACGCAGTGTTGATACGTATTTTATCCCAATTCTGGTGAGATAGAGAGCCAACATGTTTATGTCCATGGTATCTTCTTCCTTGACGCCTGAGCCGACAAGACATATGTGCGACGTATCCTTGAGCGGCTCGCAAAGGTCTACAGCGGCTTGTAGTTCAGCTCGCGCGGCTTCGTTTGTTTCGTTCGTTAGCTTTCCATCTGCCTGTCGCAAAGCATCAAGCGGTAGAAATGCGGCCTGTGCAAGATGCCCTGCACTGTATTCGTCTTGTGTGCGACAGTCCCATGTAAAGTAGTTAGCATCGCCAGCCACGAGATCGTCAGGGGTAGTCTGCAAACAAACAGATGCCTGCATGGCGCGTGCGGCCGACAATCCTACCCGCGTATGCTGGCCAGGGGTTTGCAGTAGTCTATCTGTCATGAGCCGCTGGAACGAGGGTGGGGTATGTACCGTCCTCATTTTGCTCCCAATTTCCCACAACCTCCTCACCTCTTCCGGAGAGTTGGCGGTGAGCATCATGAGGGTCTCTGGAATCCTGCTTTCATCCACCGAAAGGAGCTCCTCCCGTTTCGAGCACAATAGGGCGATTCCGAAAAACGAAGTCCCAAGGGGATTGTCCTCCAATAAAAGTAAATCCCAGAGGGCTAGCACCGATTCGACGGTAAAGTTCCTCGCAAACAACGTGACAAACCAGGATGTGGCATATAGATCAGGAGTCATCATATGTCTTTCAAGGAGCCAGTACAGCTCCGGATCGTGATACAACAATAACCTCCCAAAGTACTTAAACATTCGCTTGAGTAGATCGAAGACACGCGACTCGGATGTCTCGAGCATCCACGGCGCAAACCTACTCACAAACTCGGAAAAAAGGGCGAAGACAATCCTCGGATTCCCCCCGGTATCTGCCAGTAACACAAATGGTGCGAGCAGCTCATTAAAGCCCTGCACATAGCCCACCTTGTGCCTCGCGCAAAACAAACTAAGTAACCTCAACAAGGCGCCCCTGACCGCTGGTTGCTTAAATCGAGCAAGGCCCGGGCGGGTGCGCTCAACATCTTTCTCGATCTGCTCTTTAGAGTTGTGGTCTGCGACGGCATCGCGTGCGCTTTGCGCAAAGGCGGCGGCATCCTCTGAAAGCAGGGACTCAACACGTAAGCGCAGCAGAAGTAACCATACTGCGCCTCGCACTTCGTGCGGCACGGCGCCGCTGAAGGGGGCTGACAGGAGGTCTGCGCGGAGGTTGGCGAGATCGTGAGTGGAGACGCACGATTTGGCCGCGGCGCGGACCTGGTGGGCAGGAATAGACAAGGGTGGGGAGAATTGTTAGAAACCGAGGTGCGCTGGGGAATGATTGGGCGGCACGGGATAGTAGAAATGGCTACGCACCTTTCGGAGGATATCAGTATCGGTTGGCAGAGGCTCCCACTCTTCGTCCTTGAGATTCATGGGGGGTCGGGAGGGAGGGGGAAGGAAGGAGGGTGCTACCGACCTGGCAAGCTACAGCGTGCCCGCCGGATCAGACGGTGAGGCCGGCAGGCGTATCGGGTGTGGACATGGGGAGGGAGGTGGAGGGTGTTGGAATGCAGACTTTGCACTATGGGGAGAGCGGCAAGGATGGGGGGGGGATGGGGTGGGGTGGGGTGGGGTGATGCATTCATGACGCGGAGACACAGAGGCAACACGGCAGCGAGGCTTGCCGCCACTTGCCTCACACAGAGGTCCACTCACCATGCGCCAGCAAGGCTCCTTTCCCCCTGAATTTTCTTTCTTTTCCAACACCCTCTCTTCTTCATCGTCTCCCCGCCGCCTTCGTCTCTTCTCCTCCCGAACCCGCCTCCCTCCCCCTGATTATCTCCGACACCATGCCAACGCAACCCGCAAACCCCCGAAAGCGTCTCCGCATCCCCTCTCCGCCTCCTTCAAAGCGTTCCCGAGCAAAGGTCCCTCTCTCTGGTGCCCCCTCCTCGCACGGAAGCTATCTCAACTACTACCACCGCCGCCACGCCGGCCACTCCCCCACCTCAGACGACCGCCTCTCCGTCATCACTCCCCTCCTCGGACGTTACAAATCCCCTGTCCTTCTGGATATTGGCTGCAATGATGGCGCCGTCACAGCCAGCCTCGCCCCCAGTGTCGCCTCTGCGGTGGGGGTCGATATCGACGCCGGCTTGGTCGCTAAAGCTCGCAAGCGAGTCCGAGCCACCGTCGCCTTGCTTCGCGCGACAGGGGGAAAAAACGAGTCGGATGAAGATTTTATACCTATCTCGTGCCATGTTGTGCAAGGACCGCCTGTCGAGCTAGTGCAAGCGCCCCCCGAGCCCGAGCAAGTGCACGAGGGAAAGGAATTTCCGTTCAACCTTTGCTTCCGCTGCGAGAACTTCGCAGCTGAGAAGCCTGGTACGACCGCTATGGAGCACCACGCGTACGACGTCGTGTTGTGTCTGAGCGTGACGAAGTGGGTTCATTTGCACGGCGGGGACGCTGCATTGAAGCGTTTATTCCGACGTATGAGCGACTGTTTGCGCCCGGGCGGGGTACTGATATTGGAGCCGCAGCCGAAAAAGAGCTATAAGCGAGCAAGGCAGAAGAAGATACGGGGAGCGAATCGAAAATTTGGGCAGGACCTCAAGATTAAACCGGAGCAGTTTAAAGAGATTTTATTGAAAGAGGGGGGGTTTGAAAGATTTGAACTGCTGAGAGATGTAGCGCAGGAGAAGGGGAAGATGTTCAATCGGCCGATTATGGCCTTTTTTAAGAGGGGCAGTGATGAAGGGGAAGCTGGGACGGGTGAGGCCGGACTGGGTACCCGGTTAGATGGGGATACCGGAGGGGCAAGTACAGAGGAGGGAGTGATTCGAGAGCCGTCTGGGGCCAATAAGGCGCCTGCGAATGGTTCTACTAGATAGCATTTGAGGAAAAGGGGCGATGAGCTAGAAAAGTCTCGACATCGAGCGAAGATTGGGGTCTCGTAGTGGAAGCAGCATGAAATGATTGCAGTCGACGACTGCTATTCAGAAACATCGGACAGACTTATCAGGTTTTACATGCGGCATGCGATGTTCAAAATCACATGCATGTTACTTAAGCGATTGCGCAAGAGCAGGACGGCTCACATGATTCCACAGAAGTGGGAGACCTGCGGCTCTTGCAGAGACAGCTCAAGCAGGAAGGATATGCAGTAAGCTCCCCAGGAGATTGGAATGCTGCGCCTTGGGGACTCGACTGCAGAGAAAATATCTCGGCGGATCCTCGCAAGTCGGCCAACGCGTAGCCCTGTTGGTGTATTAGCAGGACGGCGCCGAAGTTGGCGTGACGTGTACAGGATGCATCATAAGTCATACTGTAAGAATGCGCCAGCATCCGGCAACAACCCCACAGCCACACGTTCTGCCACACGTTCCGCAGGAAGTCCACGCCAACACGTCCTTCATTTCCCTCCGTGTTGCCGTTCTTTCCTTTAAGACATAAAAACAGATTACAGAAAACCACCTCTCGCGCTATCGGGGCAGTTCTCGAGTATCCCCTTCAGTGCCTTGTAAACTGATAAAGCGTGGTTCGCCGCACCGTCCCTTACACACTTCCAACAACGGCGAAGCAAACCGACACTTTGTGTGTGCTTTTATCGCCCAGTCGAAATGGATACTGTCATTACGTGCGAGGAGGTGAAGCCTGGGTCAACCGCCATGCTCAAGCCGGGAGAGTCTCAAAAGGTCATTCACCTTGTCCGTCATGGACAAGCTACTCACAACCGTAAGCATCGCAATATTCGCGTCACCCTTGCATTTTGGCCCTCAACGTACCTTTTTGAAAGCTAACAATTGCCTTAATCCATCGCCGTGTCCTTAATGAGCAGTTTTCGCGGCAATGAAGCATACCGAAGGCACGCCGTGCAAATGCGCTCTGAAGCAGAAGGGTTGTCCTTACATAAATGAGGAGCACACTGACGCAAGGTTAACTCAGAGAGGACGTCTGCAGGCTGTAGCTGCAGGTTCGCGTCTCCTGCAAACTTTCCCTGTACCGCAGTGCGCCTTCGTATCCCCGCTGTCCCGCACATTGCAAACCGCCACCATCGCTCTTTCTAAGGCGAGCGCACTCTCTATTTCTCTTATCGCTGAAGAGTCATTGCGTGAACGAAATGGTGTCCACGTCTGCGACAAGCGATCCCCGAAAGAAGATGTTATGGACCTTTACCCGAGCGTGGACTTCGGAACCATCGCTCCAGGGCCAGACGCATTGTTTAGCGAAATCAGAGAAACTGAAGAGGAGCTCGCTGCGAGGGGGAAGAAATTCTTCTTGAGCCTGGCGGGCAGGCCAGAAAGTAGTTTCGCCGTTTTTACGCATAGCTCCTTCTTGTTCAACACCCTCTCGCGTGGCTTTCAAACTCCAGACCCATCAGGTAAGCGCACTTAATCTCCTGTGTATCATCGCTTTCGTTTTGCATACGGCCACGGACTGCTAACGATGGTCTCCTCTGCCGATGTATGCCCATGCTCTGTGATTGATTTTTCGCAACCAGCTGCGCGTCGATTTCAAACCGGTGAGAGTCGCGTAGTTATCTTGACCTACACTTGATCCTCATCCAAAAAAATACTGCTTCATTGCCTTAAATGACGTGCTGCTCACGTCATGGCATGACAGAACGATTGCTTCGTACTTGCGTACTATGTAGGGAGGCCTTTCGACACTGCACAGTTGTTGGCGTCGACTTGTCACTGCAGAGTAGGCCGGTCAAAACGTCCCCAGCATTCACTTCTTTTAACCTAAGAACTATTGACTCGGCCCATTGGGCACGTTTTTCCCATCGCTCTCTTTCATGTCTTATCATGGATCTATTCAAGTGTCTTTCATTCCTTTTGTCATTTAAGCGTGGGTCATTGCGCGAGTCGAAATACACCGCCAGATATTTCACAATGCTGGAAGCGTGAGGAGCTAGAGATTCTGGTAGCACATTCGCCATAGAGGAAATTGCTTCCAGACATGCATCGGACGCAGACATAGCCCCGTAACTAGGAGGGGGAATTGGGTTTCCACTGGAATTCATGGTTGCGGACATAAGCAGGGTTGGAAAGAATGACGCCAGACGCAAAAGTGGTCTCATTTTCGGGTAAATCAGTTTCACAAATCTGTTCCGAATGAACCCTCCTGCACATTGCGCGAGAGCAGAAAGCAGGGTACAAGCTTTGATAACGACAGGAAGCTCAGTTCCCTTTCCGTTCAAGTATTTGACTAGCTCGTCAACTTGCTCGGCGTTTTCTCGCCCTCGAAGCCTTCTTTGATTCATACGTTGCAGTAAACCTTCTCGCTTGGAAAGTTTTCCCTGGAGAACTGCGAATTGATCCGGAATTAACGGCAAGATTGTGGCCGCATGCGGTAACAGTTCCGTTTGATTGTCTTCTAGCAAATAAACAGCCCAGGTTGCACAACCAAGCGCAGCAGCTCGAACGTTCCACGGACGACCAACGAGCAAATCCCGCATCCCATCCAGAGTGTTCAGCGCGACCTGCTCAAACGCGTTTCGCACGAAGTTGTCTTCATTCAGCTTTTCTTCCATTTCCGCTTCCGTCTGCTCTTTCGCTGATAAATCGTGGTAGTAAGCCATGTCATCTGTACAATAGTAGAGGAGCTTCTTGCGCAACATTGCTATGTGCAATTCGGAATTAGATTCTTTCTTACCGCTGCTATACATAGCCGGTGGCTCCGTTCCCTTATTCTGAGATGTAGTGGTGCGGCTTTGGCGAACAGCCGTCGCCAGAACACTTTCGATTGCCCCTAATGATTTGAGTGCTCGAGAGTTCCCTGCACCAGCCAGATTATTGTTTAAATCACGGAGCGTGCTATCGAGCAAGAGAATGGCTTCTTCACTGACGGCATCCCCTCTTGTCCCAATGATAAAGGTAAGGACATCAATGGCCCATCGCTCCTCGAGATGCCTCCCAACGCGAGATATCAAGTAGTTCAAATGCCGACCCAGTAGAGCTCTGGCGTTGGAGCATCTAACCGTCTTCCCTATCTTGTCCAATGTCGTATGGGCGGCGTTGTGAATGCCCTTCTCCCCGTGAGAAACGTCTTTCAGCAGACTGATTAGCACAAGTAGGACGACGTCAGAAGAGAGTGGTTTCGACAGCTGTCGCTCGTACATATCTGACATGTCTTGAATCAACGCCGACATGCAGTGCAAAATGCAATGCTTCAAGCTAATCATTGTATCATCGACTGAAGTAAGCCCATCAGAAACATCGTGCTCAAAAGCCGGAAGAAAAAAACAAGTCATGGTACCCAAAACATCTCTTGCGCATTGCATGACATGGTTAACGTGCTCTTTCATTTCGTTTGTCGGTATCTCTTTCCTCGCAATTGCACCTCGGACAGCTGCTTGAAGGATCAGGACTGCGTGCGCTCTAGACTTGAATGCAGACCCAAAGTGAAACGAGTCCGTTCTTCTTGCCGACTCACCGGAACCGGGATCCTCTTCCCCATCCTCGTTCTTGGACCCATGAGACAAGAGAGTGGTGAAAATTGATGAGAGCAAACCAGCTCTCCCAATTTGAGAACTTGTCTCTAGGACAACATTGCTGAGCTTCAAAAATTGTTGATCCTCTGGGTCACCACTTTCGTTCCAGAGAACCTGATGTGTGGACATCAACATTTCACAGAAACCGCTTATTCCAACTCGAACAAGGGAAAATGCAAAATCTGACGGTGTCACAATAAAACTTGCTCTCTCAGATTGTATATCATGCGAGGGGAGAAAGATGCGCAGAAAGCCCTTGCAAACTTTGACCCGAAAGGTCTCATCCTTCCTCTTCAGCAAACAGGCAATCGTACATTCTGCGATATTCTTTGATGCGGATCCGTCGTTGCCCAAGATCACTTCATCGCTTTCCCTAGCCTTGCCGACTATGACAAAAGCATCTTGGCGGTTAACACAGGTTAGTACTGCCTTGAAGCAAGTTTCGATTTCTCGCAGTCTGACCTCACCAACCTTGACAAGCTTCTTGAAAGCTCGCAAGGCCTCATTTTTAATGATGGGATATTCATCTCCAGCGAGTTCTACAAGAGCAAATATCAACAAGCAGCGAGTTCTCTGATCAACTGAAAGCGATGACGTATCCATCAAAGATATACGGACAAAACGGGCAACGGCCAAACGGGCACGCACGCTGTTATGGCAAGACGGCCCAGTTTGCGACTCCAGGAAAAGGCGTAGACGTAGCGAAACTTCCCTTGAAGCGGCGGCTGACCACGAAGCATTCCGTGCAATCAAAAGACTAGTTCGCGAGGATTTCTCCACATGTGGCGTGTCAGCAACGCCAGCCATCCCTGTGGCACCCTCTCGCGCGCTTCCTGTAGGGGATTCACGGATGCGGTGCTCCTCTAGTGCTTCTGCAAAAGACCTCTCATGGCCGTTTACGGCTGCATGTGTAATCTCTTTCGGTGGAAAGACGCCGTATACGATAGAAACCAGAGTGTCCAAAGCGGCGACTAATATCGGGGCTTGGTCTAACGCAGAATTTTGGAGTACTCTCGCCATGTTTGAGACTAATCCAGGAAGAAATGCAGCAAGAAGATCTTCAGGCATGGAGCGCACAAGAGCTGAAAGGGCCAGAAAGGCAGCTTTTCTCACTGCAGGAGCACGTTCATGACGACCAGTGATGGCCAACGCATGAGAGACGTGTGCGGCGGCAAGCTGCGCTTGCTCTGAGGCGGCGAGTGCGGATTGTAGAGAGAAGGGCACCTCTGGAGGGCTTGGGAAGATAGAGGCCACACAAGGGAACAAGCTTTCTTCTTCCGATTCCGAAGCTGAGTTTTCTGCTGCTAAGGCATCTTGCTCCTCGGAAGTGAGCATGAGCTTTCCAAAACTGGACAACCGGTCTCCACCATGATTTTCGGTCACCGGAAGCTGCGAAAGCTTATTTTCTTGGGCATCAAACCCATCACCGTCCAGTGCGTCAACAAGGAGTGCGAAAAGCGAACGCAATGTCTCTTCATTCCAAAGAGGCAGGGCCGTCCACGAAGAGTTTTCAGGCGGAGAGGAGGGTCCGAGCAATCGGGAAACTGTGCGTAGCACGAGAGTGCGGACGGAGGCTGGTAAATTACGAGATCGGACTGACTCTCGAAGTGAGACCAAAGATGAGTTTCGTGTGGCAGAGTGTAGCTCGGCAAATGTGTGCGGAAGAGTTGCAAGTTCCGATACGAGACCAGAAAGTTCCGCTTGAGAACGTGGGGCAGGCATGGCAAACAGGAGTCTCAAGTCACCATTTGCCCTTCGCTGGACCAGCAGCTCAGCACCTCGATTCTGAAGAGGCGGGCATCCACAACCTTGATTGACAACCTCCCTACCGTATGTTGAATTCAAACGAGTAAGCCTCGGCACCTACCTCAGAACGCACCCAGGTACCGTACTGTGGAGTGCTGTAGATACTGGGTTGGTACAGTATCAATCGCAACCTTTCTGGCGATTGATCCGAAAAAAAAAAAGCGTTCTGATTCGATGTATTTTGGTAAGAAAATCATTTTATTGTGAGGTCGGGCAGCTCTATGCAACCCCTGTATGTGCCCTTGGCGCTTTCCTTCCGAGTTTGGCACCCCCCTGCGGAGTGCGCAATTTCGTTTATGGCTAGTCGTTCGACGGATTCTTTTCTCTTTCCTTGCCTCACCCGAGATGCAAGCTTTTGCATCGCACGTCCCGATCGCACTCAACGCACATAGCCAACGATCTCGAATCTCGCCCCTCTCTGAGGTCATCAAGCCTCCTCGTCTCCCTTCACGAACACGTTGCCGCTGTCAGTTGCAGATTCCACAACCCGTCGCCTCTGATTCATCTCCTCTTGCTAATTCTGTCGAGCAAGATCTGCAAAATGGTCAGCTTGAAGTTGCAATTACTAGGATTGAAGAGGCAATCTCCAACCAAACAAAAGAACAAGAACCAGCCTTGGTCTACCACTTCTTCCACAGCTTGCTCTTCCGGGCAAGCAAAGGTCGGCAATGGCATGTTGCCCTTCGAACATTTTATGCCATGGAGTCCACGGGCTTATTCTGCGTGCGCTCAACATCCTGTCACCTTTTCACTGTTCTGACTCGCGCTGGAAGGATCAAAGAGGCAGAAAAGGCCATGAATGCGTTGTGGAAGACATACATTGTTCTTGCAGATGGCTCACAGAAAGAACTGAAAGGAGGCCAACTCCAACGTCGTCAACCGGACGAGAAAATGGTCACAAACATGGCCAACTCAGCGGTCGAACTCGGGCGGCCTGACATAGCTGTCAATGCCCTGCAGAAGATGGAGAAACACGGAGTGGCATTTACGGTATTTACAGTAAGCGTCTTGATAAAAGCACATGGCAGGCAACGCAACGTAGAGGGCGTTACCAATGTTTTGAATGGGCTTGTCGGTCGACGAATCGAACCTGATTTGATTGTGCTCAATACCGCCATCGATGCATACGTGCGCTGCGGAGAAAAGGGAAAAGCTGGTCAGGTTTTACGAGATATTAGCAAACGGGGACTCGCTCCGAATGCTTCAAGCTACAATCCGATATTGCGAGAAATCGCGCGATCAGGGAAACTGGAAGAGGCTCTGAATTTACAAGAAGACATGAACCGTCGGGATATTAAACCATCGGCATATACATACAATGCTCTCATCCAAACTGCCGTCACGGCGAGGCAATGGACGCTGGCAACTGACCTTTTGATCGCATCATCCGCTGCTGCGCAGAAGTGGAGTCGCAAAGGTTCACGCTCCAGGGGGGAAAACTATGAGGATTCTGCAGCAGCTGCGATGTCCAAAGATGTGGCCGTGGGATTCACGACTGTGATTTCGGGCCTAGCGCTCAACGGCGACATCAAGCGAGCTGGGCAGCTATTAGACTATATGGTGAAGCGCATAGAGGAATCTGGAAAATCGGCCAAGCTCGAAGCCGAGATTGGGATTGCTGTCAGCGCCATTCTTAGCGCTCTATTGGGACAGAATGAGGTGGTGCGGGCGTGGCGGCTGTTTCGCTCTGTACGCAAACGATTCAGTATTTCTCTACCACCAGATACATACAACGCAGTTATTCGCGGGCTTGCACGCCGAGGGGAGGTCGCGTACATGGATGCTGCGGACTATGTGTTTTCCGAAATGATGGAAGCGTTCAACGAGCAACGCTGTCGTGAAAACGAGGACGACTACCCCCTGCCAAAGGACGTGTTGGGGTCAACGCGAGGGGCGAAGGCGACACCGCAGGACATCACGCTGGCATACAATACATTGATCGATGGCCACTGTCGTTGCGGAATGGCGAGTGCTGGAGAAGGTCTCCTCGAGGAGATGGAGGAGAACGGGCACGTGGCAACGGTGGTGACGTATACAACTCTAATCAATGGATACGGGAAGGAAACTGACCTGGTGTCGACGCGGCGGATCTTCAAGCGTATGCGTGAGCGCGGGATTTCACCTGACCGGGTCACTATGAACGCGTTCATCGGAGGGTGTGTGCGGTCGGGGGACATGGAGCTAGCGTTGCGTTTGTTCGAGGAGATGCAGCGGGTTGGGAGCCGGGTGTCACCTAACCTGGTGACGTTCTCGGCGTTGATTGCGGGGTACGTGCGGCAGAACAAACGGAACGAGGCTTGGGATATGTATGAGGAAATGAAAGGACTGCAGATCGTACCGAATGAGCGGCTACTGGATCGGATGATGGCGGCTTTCGTGTCGCCGGATTTGAAGCCGGGGCGGGGAGAGATGGATGACGGGGAGGAGAATGTGCACGAGGCCGATATGGAGGAGGTGTTGAATCTGGGGGAGCAGGTGGAAGGTAAGCTCGAGGTTGGGTTGGAGGGAGACGTCCTGCGGAAGGAAGGGTGGACATCGCAGAGAGCGACGATTTTGTTGCAGGATATGGAGATCTGCAGATGCTCAGAGGTTAACAAGAAGAGGTGGCGAAAAGCCATTTCTTCATTATGGGTTTCGTAAGGGTCCTGAAGACATTCGTATGTACAGTGCTGGCCAAAATGATAGGGACACACCCAATTTGCATTGCTGCAAGCTCCTTTTGCCCCAATCATAGAACAGAAGGTGCTCTCTATACATATTGGTCGTGCTAACCACGATAAAAAAGACGGTTTTATAAAAGCAAAAATAGCCTTGGAACTAAAAAGCCAAACGTGTATAACAGTTTCAGTCGTAACTCGACAACTACAGTGCTGGCCAAAATGATAGGGACACAGGCTATTCGGGCTGTGGCAGCTCCCTTTTGCTCCAATGATAGAAGGAAAGAAGCTCTGTACACGTATTGGGCGAGCTAAACGTGATGGAAAAGACTGTTTTATAGAATAACAAAAGCCTTGGAGCTATAAGGCAAAAACGTGTTTACGGCATGGCCATAATGATAGGGACAACAGAGACTAACTCGCGTTTTGGCGCAAAACGCAAACTGCGTTCCGCCGAAAGGCGTAAAGGCCATGCTAAGGCTACACTCGAGGGGTCTGCAGACGGTTGTGCAGAAAACAGTCGGTTGGTACCTCGGAGAAATAGGAAGAGGGAAAGTCCTGAACGAGCACGAAAAAGGGGCTTATCGCTGGTCTTAAGGCGGTAGAACCATTCGAGACATCGCTGCTCGTGTGCAGCGCTCCAAGAACGTAGTTTCTAACTTGTTAGAAGGAAATCAGAACGCAGAGGACTACATACAGACATTACAAAGTTATTTGCTACCGTTTATTGCTCAGGAGCTGGACGTAGGATGGATATACATGCATGACGGAGCTTCTATTCACAGGGCACATCGGGTCAGGCAGTTTTTGAGAGGGAAGACGTGCCGGTTATGGACTGGCCGGCAAAGTCCCCGGACTTAAATCCTTAAGAGAATCTCTGGGGTCTGTTGGCACGTGCTGTATACGCTGGTTGTCGTCAATTTGACAACGTCGAAGCGCTTAAAGAGGCCGTTTGGGAAGCCTGGGATAACATCACAACGGAAATACTGAAATCCCTTTTGGGGTCCATGCAACGACGCTGCAGGGACTGTTACCTTTCCGAGGGAGGTGCTACGAAGTACGGAGGTGAGTATTGCGCATACATGGGGTCCAGATATTGGGGTAGAAGTCTTGTCCCTATCATTATGGCCATGCCGTAAACACGTTTTGCCTTATAGTTCCGAGGCTGATTTTTGTTCTATAAAACCGTTTTTCTATCACGTTTAGCTGTCCCAATACGTGTGCAGAGCCTCTTTTCTTTTATCAGTGGAGCAAAAGGGGGCTGCCACAGTGCGAATAGCCTGTGTCCGTATCATTTTGACCAGCACTGTACCAGCCAAATTAACGCAGTCCAGAGTTTCAGTGACCATATCTTTGAATCTACCCGACCATTTAAAGCCCGTTATTGGCTCTCATGAATCACTATTCAGTTTTGAAGGGACTGACGTGGCCAGACCAAAACCCGGCTTGGCGTGGCAGAGCAGTGGACGAAACACTCGACCTCCTCAAACATTTCAAAAAACAACATTGCTTCAATCCGACACGGCGCAGGCCCAGTCCAACCTACCTTTTTGGATTTTATTCGATTGTTTGGAAATGCTCAAACTGCCCCAGTCGCATCTTCAACCCTCCTCTTGCACACTGCATGCTTTTGGCGGAGGCGACGTGCATCCCTACTCAATCGCAGACGCTTGCGCCGCTCGTGACGCACATCAGCGAGCTCCAAATAGCGTCTTCGATCTGCAGCTGGCTCACAGATGTTTTCCGTTACCGTGCTCTGGGCAAAAGAACGCCTCCGAACTGTTTGACGCCTTTCCTCTCTGGTTTTTCGAGCGTCGAGGACTACCTGGGAAGTTAAATGGACTCCTGTGGAAGTGCGGATCCGAATTGTCCCCGATTCTTCCACGTCCGCATCACGCAGCAAAGACCGGCTGCGGTTTAAAAATGACCGCTTCAATTCATCAACTGTTGGGTTCTGCGCACTACTGTTCTCTTGCTCGTCGAAGAGATGCTTCAAAGGTTCAATATCAGTTCCCAAAACAACGGGATCCCAAATGCCACACTTGCGAAAACCGGACCGGATATTGCTGACGGTCATGCACTTTTCAAATGCCTTCATGATCATTGTCCCAATATCAAATGCATTAAGTAATGACTTGATGCGTGCCGCCCGGTGAATTTCTGCCTGCAAAAATGACTTGTAGGCACCAAAAACTGTAACGTCCAGCGGCTGGAGGCGATCTGAACTGTGAGCCCGTAGTGCGATGACAAATGTATTATTGTCTCTCAAAAGTTTGAGGGTGTAGTACTGAATATGCGCTCCATACCCATATGGGTGGAAGCTTCTCGATATTTTGGATATCCAAAATAACGAGAAGCTTCTAGTTATTTATACGAAGATGACTAGTTTCGTCCGCAAAGCTCCTCGCCCACTGCATCATGATCGGTGAGTCTACCCCTGGCACCTCTCGATAAAACAAATAGCATTCCGGCAGTACAGCTGTGAGGTCTTGCCAGTGGCCGCACACCTTTCGATAATACGGATCTTGGCTCGGGTAGACAATTACTGGCTTGAAAGTAGACCCAGCGGCGGATACGACTGGCATGATTGTGACCCTGTCCAGTTGGCCTTTAGTTCTCAAATTGCTTTGCTGCAGCCTCTGTCATGGCTTCCCGATACCCTTTCTAAGACTGCGCCCCACCATTCGAGCGAACGACGAGCCAGACTGTTCTACATTGAAAATACACCTTGCATCGCGGATATTGCACCTGTCAAGTGCTGCCTGTACACGGGCAATGTGCTCCGTGACAGTGCTGGGGGTTATCGCCAGCAATCGTTTGTCCTCTACGACCTGCACCGATGAGGTGCGCAGTCCATGGCGCTTTAGAATATTGTTGGTACACGTGTCTGATGGCCGGCGATCGAGCATCTTAATTCCTCTGGATTCAGCCGGCGGAAGAAGGTCCACATAGGTCTTGATCAGGTCACGCACACATATGCGGGTGAGAGGGGTGTTGTTTTCAGCGAAGTCCTTGATTGTAGCAACGATGGTCTCTTCATGACCAAGGGGCAGTAGCGATGGGCGACCCGGAGACCTGCGCTCAATGTGGATGTCGGAAGAACTTTGCGTCTGAGACTCGAGGGCTTTTACCAGCCAGCTAGCGTATGCACGCCTGATGATGCCGGAACTGAGCTCGTGTTTCAGAGAGAGTTGACACCATGTCAAGGCGTGAGCAAAGCGGTCATAAATGGCCTGCTGGGGGCGTCTATGGTCTTCCATTTTGAAGAATGGATGTGGAACGAAGACCCTCTTGCGTGCCAGTCACGAGTCTACTTTGGCAAGTCGGCACACCGGATTTATACCATCATGGACTCATTGTAAAGAGCGCACTTTCCGCCTGTAGGTCCAGTTTGAAATTGCCGCGCAAACTTGACCAGCTTAAGACAGCTGTCCGTCATAAAGAAGGCCACACTAGTGTGGCCTTTTTTATGACGGAGTCCACGTAGAAGCTGTTTCATGGCAGAGAGCGTTGCAAAATGATATTGTAATGCCACATGTCGCGTTAAAAAACCTGCCGAATTGAAGGGGCAACTGTTACGGCGTGGCCAAAATGATAGGGACAGAAAGGACGCGCTCGTGTTTTGGCGCAAAAAGCAAACTAGGTTCCGCCAAAATGTGAGCAGGCCGAGCACCTTCTGCGGAGCGACCTGCAGACACTTTTGCAGCAGAAATACGGTGTAAAGATCAAAAATATGGGACGGGGAAACGCTCTCAACGAGCATGAGAAAGGCATCATCTTTGGGCTTTCTGAAAGCGGTAAGACGATGAGAGACATCGCTTCATGGCTGAAGCGCTCTAAAAATGTCATTTCAAACTTCTTGCGTGCGCTGGGGAGTATGGGAAGAAAAAAGCGCCAGGAAGATCGACAAAACTCTTTCCTACGGATAAAAGAAGGCTGCTCCGGGCGGCTTCTCACTCAACCAAAGGCTCAAACACTCTACGCAAGGAGCTAAAACTCTCTGTCTCTGCAAGATCTACTCGCCGCACGCTTCATAACGATCATAATTTTCAGTTCAAGAAGATGATCGCCGCTCCAATGATGTTCCCACGCCATCTTTTCGCACGGGAACTTTTTGCAAGCGAGAAGCTGACCTGGTCTCTCGCCGAATGGTACAGTGTCATCTGTTCCGACGAGAAAAATTCAATCTTGATGGACCAGATGGCTTTGCCTTCTATTAGCACGATTTAAGAAGGAAAAGCTTATGTTTTCGAAGAGGCAGGGGGACGAGGATTCAGTCATGTGTTGGGGGCTTTTTGTGGGGAACATAATGCGAACTGGTATGTCTAGAAGGAAACCAAAACGCAGAAGACTACATTCAAACTTTAGAGATTTATTTGTTCCCATTTGTTGATCAAGAGCTCGTTTCAGGGTGGATATATATGCATAACAGAGCGTCGATTCATAGGGCGCATCATGTTAAGCAGTTTTTGAGGAAGAGGAAGTGCCGGGTATGGACTGGCCCGCAAAGTACCCGGACTTAAATCCTATAGAAAACCTCTGGGGTTTGCTGGCTCGTGCTGTTTACGCGGATTGTCGTCAGTTTTCTAACATTGAAGAGCTGAAGGAGGCTGTTTGGGAAGCCTAGTAAAATATCACAACAGGTACGCTCCAATCTCTTTTGCAGTCAATGCTGAAAGGAAAGATGGACCTCTGTCCCCCCTCTTTATTGTTCTGAATCGTTAGTGTCCGTCTATGTACCCTTCTCGGTACTGTACCACCCTACTTGGTTGGATCTCCCCAGCTCACCCTGGGTGCGCGGCGCCGTCGGACTTACAGTGCCTTACATCGCTTAGATTCCAGCACCCCTCCTCGGCGGCGCGCATATTAAAATCACTGTCTCTCTCACAGATCGATTCCCCTCCTCGGGCAAACACTAGCGCGCATGTTAAATCACTCTCTCTCACGAATCGCTTCCCCTCCTCGGGTAGACACTTCAAAGCTCGTCCTTGAGCTGACCGTCAGATTCAGCACTATGCGGCGCCCCTGTCGCGTCCACTGCGCCTCCCTCGCGCTCACAACGATCACCATGGCACCTAACTCGTGCTCGGTGTTCTCGTCTCCGTCTGTCCGATTCTCGAGCACAACAATGAACCGTTTCCTCCTTGCTATATTTCACCGCGTCAAT